TTAGATGTGGCCCCTCGTTCCACTGATGTGCAGAGAATAATAGTCGTCAGCCAGCCCTGTCAACGCACAGCGAAGTCTGATTACGAAACCAGAACGCAAGTCGACACGCTGAAGGCGATGTTGCGGAGGGGTGTACTGTGCACACTTCGAGCACGCCACCCCATGTGACCAAACATGCCAGCTCTCAGCCGGGACGACGCGCGTCACTTAATGCACTTGTGGAAGCCTTTCACGATCATTAACTGGCTCGGGGCTTGAAGGCCTGTGGTGTGAAGGCCGTGATGCCCGGTGTATCACTGATACGGTCTGAGAACCACCGGCGCATATAAGTCTCATGTGTAAATAAGTGCTTCAGATCTCAACCAAAATGCCGCGAGTCCGTTAGCGCGCTGGTGAGTGATTTATTCGATGAGCAGCGGATTCGGGAGTCTGAATCCCTGATGTCGTTGGCTGATAACGGCAAATAAGGCAGACGCGAATTATAACGCCGACAAGTCCCCTAAGCCAACTAATGTCTACCTCGCACTCATAAACAACTTTTGAGTAAGTTCTTGAAATTGCAAGCGTATGCGATACGCCGGAGCAGTTAGGCAGAAACGTTTTGAGGAAGTCACATTCTGTCTTTCCATTTACATATAGATTGATCTGTCCAAGATCGTAGGCGGATCATAGCCACCAAGATATTCATGTCCATTCTGAATGGAAAGAGAACTTTGACGCCACTAGAGGGAACAGAGTATCCCACACGGAATGGATGAAGAATAGGCCGGAACAAGTTTGCAAATAGGTGATGACGCTGGTTCGGCTGCGCAAGATCAGACATCCAAGTGCCACTGGGGTAGGCGTCAGAGCGTCTAGAGCGAGGATATGTCACAGCAGGACTTGAAGTTGTTTGGTCGGTCCGAACAGATGTGATTTGTCGAGAATCAGACCGCCATTAGTGAGATTATTCAGATAGGCGCGCGACATACACTGTTGAAGCAGGTGCCTGCAGTGGGGCCACCGCAAACCATCTGGATCCAAAAAAACCACTCCTCTTCGAAGTTCGCGGCGCAGCGATTCAGAAATGACGCGGCATGATTTAGAAGAGAACCCGACTTTCCTCGCATATTCATTAATATTCATGTCCACATTACACCCAACAGCCCCAATTCCTCCGTTAATCGTCCATAGTGTCTCCCAAACGCTACGGATATGGCCATTACCTTCCCCCTGTCTGATGTAGTTAGATCAGCAGCAGTGGATTTCGTGTGAATTCGTTTGTAATGAAGCCTGATTGCAAAGCACCTACCTCGCTCTACCTATCCACCTTCCCACGCCCACTAAGACGAATGAAGTCAGGCTCAGACGACAAGCATAACGAAACTACAGAGTTCGTTTACTTCTCCCGACTATTTCCTTTCTACTTCACATCACCTCCACCAATTGCCTTCGTTCGGAATATATTTCCATTGACTCATTCAGAAAACTGGGGATAAACCTATTTCGTCGAATTCTCATCAGCGCTGTGAAGTTGTGCAGAGCCGTTCGAATTTGCGACGACATAAGAACTCCAAGGTGAATGGGTGGGTCATGCTCTCGTTAGATGTGGTCACCCAGTTCACTGATGTGCAGCGAATAGTAGCCGTCAGCTAGACCCGCCAACGCACAGAGAACTCTGATTATGAAGCTGGAATGCAAGTCGGCATGCCAAGGGTGGCGTTGCGGGGGTGTACACTGTGATCGCCTCGTGCATGCCGCTCTCATGTGGCCAAACATGCCACATCTCAGCCGGACGACGCAAATCACTTAGTACAGTTGTGGAAACCCTTCTCGATCATCTACTGACTCGGATTTTGAAACTCTGTGCCGTGCGGCGGAAAAAGTTGGATATCACTGGCTGATGACGGCAAAAATGGCCATTCCTACCTGCGACGGTGGATTTTCACCAGTTATCAACTGCCAGTCGTCAGACCACCGTCTGCGTCGGGGTCTGCAGTGCCTCAGTTCCAATTAGAAGCGGAAACGTCCAGTTCACGTCTGAACGAAAATCGATACGGATGGGATAGCCACCTCTGGGCTAACTCTGAGCTGACTTCCACGTGTGAAAACTGCGCAAAATGCAGATGAACACGTGTCAGCGCGTAAAAAAAGTATATGGGACCGCACCTGATCAGACCGGCCCAACCGTGGGGCTCGTGTAATTGGAATAGGCAATCACCCAATCAGGTTCATTCTGGAAATAGAAAAGGCAGATTTGATTCCATTCCAAAACTTCTAATGGCACAGGCTGCCTAAAAGAGCAGCCGGAAGAGGGAGAGTATACCACTTTGAGTAGTTTTGTACCCCCTAGCCAAAAACGAAACATGTTTCGTTGCTTGGTCAACAAATGCGGACACATGTGTTCACAGAATGATGCCAAAGAAGAAGTAGGTACATTTTCGGCCATAATGGGGAACCATAATAGGGTAAACCAGAAAGACTTAAAATCAGAAATATCCAAGAGGGAGGATTGCAAGTTAGGGCGATTGCGGCTGGGGAAAGGAGTCCCTCCTAGGTGGCTCAGATTTAAGACGTTCCGTTTTCCACTCGGGTCTCACAGTCGTGAGCGGAAATCGATCGACGTTGTGACAACGCGACGCTGTTATCACGGCTACCTTTATCCGGGTAAGGGCCACGCGAAGTGCCAAAAAATCGATAATGTTTGTCCCACGTCAAGAAATCAGCGCACAGCGCAGCGCCTGCGTGACCCACGCGACCGTAAACGCACGACTTACCTTGCCCGTCTGCGACACATCTTGAAGCAGGCATGGCAGTCGATAGAGATGCACGGACAACCGGTAAATGTTTGATGGTAGAGCGGAGCTCACCGGCCGCGTCACGGAACTAACTCGTCCCGTTGTGCCTTGGGGCTTACTCTAGAGCCCGGCCAGCAGCCGATCAGCTGCTAGCATCATAGACAGAGCGACATCACTGACAGTCTACCTAGGATACCGCAGGAAGTTCTAGAATGCCAGACCACGTGCTGCCGCCATCTTGTAGAAGGTTCTAGAAAGCTCGCTCCGAACTTTTCCATATTTGTACGCAAGGCACTTAGTCGCAATTTGGATTCTCACGGAAAGTAAATGAATATAATCCTAAATTAAGCAAAATGGCCCTGGCCTAAGTTTGTTTAACTTCCCCCCTTGACCTAGCCCCAACCAATCCACGATGGCGGACTCAACCTTGACACCTCCGGCCTCTGGAGAAGCTATTAATACGGGCGAGGA